GTACCTGTTTGAGAAAGAACTCGACTAGTTTCAAGCCATGCTAGGGGTTCATATTCATTAACAGCATTTCGCGACACACGACGCGGCAACTGTCGGGTTACTACTGATTATGAGCCGTCGAGAAACTAGTCGAGTTCCTCGTCAAACAGTTACGTGAGTAAGCCGGAAAACATAACAATTAATGTAGTATATCTCACGAAAGTTATAATACAAATAAACTTTATATCCTATGCAAGGAACAATTAATATTTAAATGCATTATCTCTGGCCATTCGAATGCGATGGTATTGAAAAGCGTATATATATAATTTATTAAAGTTGCGATAACCGCGTTAAGCATCGTAAAATAAATGATTTAAATACAGTGAAACTTTCAACAACTCTCTTCAATAAATATGAGTTTTTTGGAACATGTTAATCATTCAGAAAAATAGAACATTTTTTTAATTTATTGTCATGATATTTTTGAAGTCCCGACCACCGGCCGAAACCGATCTAATTCAAGATTAAAAATTAAATATAGTAAACATTAAAATCCGATAGTTAAAACATTCTATCTACTAATTTAAGATTGCCATATATTTTTTATTAATTAGTTAAATATATTTCTTGTATCATCGAATAAATTTAAATTTATTTATGCATATAAGTTTATTGCAAGTTTGAGAACTTGATCGGTAGGTATATTAAGATTTACCTTAGAGTAATACGTTCAAACGTTAACGTCAATATATATACACACAGTATGAAAAGGTACTTCTAAACAAGAAAATAGATTTAAAATATCACCTCGTCTAAAGACTAAATAGTAAAAAGGATTACAGTAAATGCACGAAAAATAGTATACATAGTCTTATAAGTTTTTTTTTTATATAACAACAGTAATTCTAAGTTAGCTAAACAACTGTTGTGTGCGGGTATCATACGTTTCTCAAATTATTTTACAAGGACTTTTTATTGCCGATAGTAAGTTTTTAACACACAATAACTGCACACAAACCTAGAATAGGAATCAGCCGAATCGACAGACTGAAAAATCAACCTTGAGCAATTATTTTAAAGTCAATTTCAGTTTGAGGGGTAAGTCTGTTAACTCGGCTGACAGACTAGCAATTGAATGTGTTCATGTGAAAGGTTTTGCGGCACTTGTTCAGATAATTCCCTTACAGTGACGATAAAGTAAAACCTCAGATTGACTTACAATCATACTTGCGCAAACTCCAAAGACGTTGCGCAAACTGCGCTTAGTATAACATCAGTGTGTGAGCGAGATGGACACTACACATGTCAGATAACGTCATCTCTTTTCCACAGAACATTCTAGAACATTATGTAATCTGAAGCTTAACATTCTAATAAGCTCTTGCGCTGAACAGTAACCGAAAAACCTCCAAGCCTTGCTGAAGCATTAAAAATCCGTACTTGAGCGTTCCTCAATATACAATACATGCAATTGCCACTCTGAAAACTTTAATAAAATTACAATATATTCAAATAACATTCTATTACATATATAATAGTAAATGCCAACATATATACAGTTAACAGTTATACTTATGTAGGCAACGTTTGTTACTAACCAATTTTCAATCTTCGTTTTAGAGGGATAAGGTTGAAAATCGTTTATCGAACGTTGTCGATTAATAATTTTTATTATAGAGTAATTTTTATTTTATAAAATGTAACATGTAACATTACTATTGAAAATATATGTATTTGATTTGAAACAGCGTGCCCCAAGGTATTGTTTAGTGGAGAAATTTTATTTTATTTAGAAAAACCTGTTTATTCTGTACATGGATTTCGTCGAGGTCGAAGTGGTTAAAGATTTACAATATTGATTTACATTTACAGATTTACATTTTGGCACTTTTAATTGTATTATTAAGTATTACTGTATATTTATTCCCTTTCTTCGTAAGTCGAAGTCATTTATTTCAAACATTTTGAACTTAAAATTCAATACTTTAAGGTTCAAAACTTTCTTAGCAACGATTAGCACAACTTGATAGCTGATATAGTAATCTACTATATAAAAATAAGTCAGTTTTATCTTCCTGACGCTATAACTCCAGAACGCACTAACCGATTTCCTCGGTTTTGCATGCGTTTGAAAGGTCTCGGGCTTCGTGACATTTATAGCAAAGAAAATTCACTAATCACCAAACGAAATGTTACATAAAATGAAGCCATCTGGTGGCGAAACGGAGTTCGCCGGGTTTGCTAGTATCGATAGTAATTACACATGTTAACGCTCATTTGATTTTAATGTCTTAGGGCTTAGTATTACGAGTTTGGCCTCTGTCTCTATCACGTTACTTGAGATAAAACGAGACAGAATGACTTCCCAATATATATTTTGTTAGTAATTTCGACCCCAACTCCATCCATGTTGTCCATACAATTTATGTAGTACTGAATAATTCAATGAGTACTACACAAACAATATGAATATTTACTAGTAACAAGTGATTCAAAAAGTAGTAAAAATGTTCCATAACAAACAATTTTATTTATTTAATTTTTTTAAACAATTCTCTAGAACATTGAGAACATTTACTATTATGTGTGAATAATAATAATTACGATTTAATCTTTTTTTATCTTTAAGTGGTTTTGTGTGTCAATATTAGTAAATATTCTCAATATATATATATAAATTTATATACATATATCAATGTATAATTCAACAACAAGACTTTCTTTTTTTCCAAAACATCTAATATAACAATTTCTATTATTTACCTATAGACCGCTAAGTGTAGACATCTTTTCTACAGTTAAAATCTTAAAATATTTTCCCTTTTATTTAATACCAGTATCGATTTACCTTCTCGATACTTAATCGATTAAGTGATGTAGAATTTACAATTTTTTAAATACATAATAACAAGATGTTATAATAGAAACGATTCGATTAAGTAACGATTGCCGATTAATCGACTAACCGTAGATAAGTAAGAGGGAAATCGATTAAATTTATATTTATCGCCCACCTCTTTGTTTTGTTGGTTATAATATACATTTCGTTATACATTTAAATGGCGATTTTTAGTTACCGCCATATACTTCTCAGATCTTGGTTTGAACATTGACACAAAATTATTTAAGTTTATTATTGAATTACGTATTCTAACGCATTATCTGTATTCAGGTTATTTAGCACTATATCTAGAAGTACCACGATTTAGTCGATTCGTCATAAATCGACTAATATATTCGACTAAACTCGTAATTTCTTTACTATAAGTTTAAACGTGAAATTTACAATCTAAATATTTTATTTTTTCACCTCACTCGACCTTCCTATTAAAAATACGTAAATAATTTTAAAAAAAGGAACAGTGTAAATAGTTGCCTTAGTGCAAAGCTGCTGATAAAATACTGTTACAATAAAATAGACTTTGTTTAAGTTAAAATAGAGATCATTTTAGTCAAAATGGAAAAGCTCACATTAGTTTGTTTGTACTTTATATTGAATAAAATTTTATAATTTTGCGTAAGAATAAAAAATTATGAAAATGTTTGAAAATAGTGATATTAAAATTGTATAGGATTATTGATAAATTTGATTCAGAGCAATTGGTTGAAAATTCATGTTAAAATCAATATTCGTTTAAGTAGGACATAGAATAATTAAAATTTCTTTACTAAAATACTTTTGGGTTAGTATTCAGACTAGAGATGTACTGACTCAAACTTTGAAATTAGTCGATTAATACTAATCGATTTAAATTGAAACGATTTAAATGACTTATCGTTCCTTGTAGTCAGCACATCACTAATGTTATATTAAAAAATAAGACGTTTATTTGCAGTTAAAATACTGACGATTACGACAAATAGAGTTTCAGTTAGTCAGAAATAGCCTGATTTTATAGAGTAGAATTAAATAATTACCGCTGCATTTGAAATGAAGGAACATTGAAATTATTGTATCATTATCTTTTAAGTTTGAAAATGCAAGTTACTGCTATTTAAAATAGAGTATATTATTGTATGACCACTATAAACTTGAGTTAAACATACAGCTGCTATATTGGACATAAATCAGATATTAGTAAATTATAACAACAACTGAACTACAAGATAAGCTGCAAAACAATTATGTACTAGGGGAAGACATTATAATTCTATTACCTAAATAGTTACCCGCCATTTATTTTTTTGGGAATTATTTCTCACATTTCACTTCTTGGTGAGATGATACAGAGCTTTAGTACGAGATTGTTTTACTTGTAAAGTAATCGGAACTTATGTCGTAGTGCCCCGGAGGTTTAAGTCGCCCGCTTCTCACGCATAAGGGTGCGGATGCGAAACCTACCAACGGCAAGTACCAATGTGACTTTTTCCGACTTATATGTACTTTTTAAGATTATCTAGCCACCACTATATAACAAACGGTAAAGGAAAACACTGTAAGGAAACCTGGGCTTATAATTTCAAGTATACGTATTAGCTTATAATTTCAATAATTTCAAGCCAAATATAAATTTGTAACTCGCATTGAGCAAGCGTGGTGATTAATGCTCAAACCTTCTCCGTGTGAGAAGAGGCTTTGCTCAGCAGTGGGCACTTATACGCTGTTGATGATGAATCGAAACGAGTACGCGTTCGGCGCTCATTACGCGCGATTACTTTAAACGTAAAATATACGCATACTAAGGCCTCATATAGTTAACACACATACATAGCGTTTAAATATTTGGGTTCGATATTAATGTTACGATAACGATTCCAATGTTTGCGTTACTAGACGGCTCGTGACACTTAAGGCCCAAGAATATTCACTGATATTTTCTCAAATTACAAGTTTATTATTAGTGTAACATACCATTAAGCGTCATTAGCGCCATCTACCAAGCGCAAAAATCGAAAAACATTCACAAAGTCTTCCCCTAACTTAAAATGAAAAGTACCAGGACATCAGAATTTGTCGGAAGGTCTTATGAGAGGCGACAGTCTCAGGAGCGCGTGTGCGGCGCGTCGGGTGGTGGGTGTCAGAAGAAGATCACCTCCTCCTCGGAAGCCGCTGCGGGGGGAGAGGCAGTTGACGCTCCCGTGTCGGGGGATCGAACGCGGAACTTGTCCGGCAATTTTGGGTATGTGTTTGTTCTGTGGAAGCAAAAAAGATAGTCTTTTGGTGGATTTGTGATACACGAAATTTGAACGAATCGCTTATAAATCCTTATAGTGTAGCCAGATAGTTATGCACATTTACGATGTACCTAACAGCCACTTTTTACTAGATTTTTTTTTAAACGTGGTGCCCCATAGGTTTTTTTTTGTGTCATGGGAACGTTTACGAACATACAAGTTCACATACACATCACACCCAGACCCGGAACAACAATTTGTGGATCACACAGAGTTGTTCCGTGCAGGAATCGAATTCGGGACACGTTGCGCGGCAGCCGGTTGCCCAGCCGCACCAACAGTGTCGTCATTCGTCAATTAGCAATTGTGTTCCATATAATTGGGGGTGAAGTCTCCATACATTACATCGATTTATTTTGAATCTATGTATCATATATCATAAAGTTGAGGTCATATGTACCTGGTGGCTTTGTTATTGATCTGTTGCTGCGAGGGTAGCGGTGCGGGCGAGCTGCCGGTGCGCGTGTGGTGGATCACTAGGCCCTGGCTCTGGTGCTGCGACATTCATATAACAACTTACTATGTTAGTCGAAGAGTATAGAGTGTTCATTTGTCCTTCCATTGCAGTTTTAAAGGAGCCTAATATCACCCTTTGAAATGGAATGAAATATTCTTTATCTTAAATAGTTCATTAAAGAAAAGTTTTTGCGCTCAAATAATGACATGCATAAAATGTTGTTCCTTTATTTTGAGAACCGTAGTTACACGTCATATTATCAATATTTTGTATACCATACCCCCTTTTACGTCACCATAAATATTTTCTGTTCACTTATGTTTCATAAATTAATAGTTTAGATTTCAACACTTCTATTAAACGCATATTTATATCATTCTTTCCACAACAAAATATTTGATTCATCTGTCAAACCAAGAGCTTTAATTTAACAAAGAAATATCGATAAAGTATATCGAAAGCATGCATGCTCTAACAACAAAAGCGGAACAGACGAAATGGTTGTAAACACATCGAGTACTGAAGAGATAGTTTGTGGAAGCCAACTGCGCTGTGTTATAATAATAATTATACAGACAGACAATCTTACTATGTATTACAAGCTGGGCGGTAGCTTATAAATATAAAATAGTGGATTTATCATCATTTGAATTTTGTTTATTGTTCAAGGTGTTGCAAAAGGTGCTATAATCAAAATAACTGAATATAAAAGTTGTTACATCGCTTGTGCATAGACATATATTGTGTTAAACTTTATCAACCCATTCATTAACTGTTTCTCACGACCCTTAGAGCCGGCATTCTAACTTGTATGTCAAATTAATAAATATTCTATTATGACTTTAACTCAAACCGCCTTATATCTCCCTACGATGTCCCTAATGCAACAAGTAGGCAGTTTTCCCTCAAATTATACATTGATCTACATCTTATGATTTTTTTAAAATCCGTTTCATAAATTTTCCTTTACTTTATAAATATGGGTACAAAAACTCCAACTTACATCAACGTATATATTTGAAGATTCGTCCTAAAACTTAATACATTTCTTACTCATTAAGGAATTTACAAAAACATATCGAGGATTTATATCGAGGTGTTTCTAACTAAGCGCCAGTCTACATCAAACTAACACATACACTCATACAAGTACAACATTATAATAATTATCTACTGGATTCATTGGACAGTTACTTACAGTAAACAAAATATTCGCGCTAAAATACGTTCGGATACTCGACATCCTGCAACATTTACCAACCATTTTATCTGTTTCGCTGCTTATTTTAGTAGAATACGAGATTATTATTGTTATGAGAGTTGGTGAAATTGAAGGAATAAAAAGAGATTAATTCATAAAAGCCGTATATAATTCGGACATAAAATGAAGAGTTTTGTGTTATTTAGTCGATTTTTCATGATCTACAAATTATGTTAGGTTTTTCCAAAAAATTGACTAGTCGAATAATTTTACTAAATTTAAACAATTAAGCTACTGAAAAACTTAGGAAAAATTCTTAGTAAAATGACTACTATTGTACAACTATAACTATTGTTAGCCAACGAAAATCAACTAAATGAACGTCACTAGTTTAATCTATGTTATCGACAGCACTAGCTGTCATGTCGACGATGTCATCTGCCAAATGTGATTAGTAAGTTTCCCGCGCATTCGGTTGTAACGGGCATTCGGTTTGGAAGTTTTGAACAAGCATTATTCGGTTTTCTTATGAAGGTGGTTAGAAATGAACTTTTTGCTGTATTGAAATATTGAGTAATCAAAACTATCGAACAAAACATTTTTACTAGAAGGAAAAAAGATGCTATTGGAGTTCGTTATTCTTGAAAACAATACTTTGGAAGTTAGAACTCCTTGTCAATAACTTCTCCTTTGAATGCCTTCAGTAAGACTTCAGAAATAGAAGAAAAAATAAGTTAAGTCTGCTACACGCTAACTCCCAAATATTTTTTTCGTCTATTCCTAATCGACGAACTAGCCTCTTTGGCTTCAGAAATTCAACCTATCTTGATAAAAATGGAACCTCTATCAGAACTACTAGACAATCTACATTAATTTAAAGGTAAATTTATAAGTACATAGTAACTGACCTCGCTAGGAGACTCGTGCAGGCGGTGGTACCCGGGCGGTGGCTGTTGGCTCTTACCACTGGCCAGCTTTAGAGGAAGCTGTTGTTTTACCATTTGCTGGAAACCAAACACATAACATTTACGTTTAAGGACTGTTCATAGCAATTATTGTGCTTTTTGGCTTACTTACGTTATTATTTGACGACGAACTCGAGTAGGTTTAATTTATGCTATTCTCTATTATTAGCACTCGGCTACACTAGTCCAGTTCCTTGTCAAATGCCGAAAAACATAAAATTTCATTTATTATGTCTCACGAAAGTTATAATATAGACTGTTCTTATTTGTAAGTATTTCTGATTTTATGACCAACTTAATTTTAGTAATTTTCCAGCAAATTTTTAGGAATAAGTACGCTGTTTGACGCTAAAAAATGTGACGTCACAATACACAGCAACCTCGTACAAAATTCATAGAAACTGTCGTTTTTAACAGTTCGAAAGAAGTATTTAATTTAACTAGTTGGCAAGCAAATTATAATGTTGGATCTTTCAGATCACTTTATTAAGGTTTTATCAAGCCCTTGTTGTTTTTTTACTGATTATCAAGTGACCATACCATCATTAATTTTATATCAAAAATTGGGCCACTATTAATTTAATTAAAGGTTTAGAGATCTGTTTCTCTGTAGTCGCACTTATAATCACTTGCAAAACCAGTACAATTCACATTTTCTACCAAACTATGGTCAGTACAATTTAAACCTTACACCTGTAGTACTAGAATACAACGCACCGATATGGCGGACGCGTGTACGGTGGCGCGCGTCTCGTTCTGCGCGGACAGTAGCTGCGGCGGCGGCAGCACGCCGGCGCGCGCGCTGCTCGCTGACACCGACGACTCCGACCCCGTGGAGCCGCGGTTGTCTGGGGGCGGGGATACATTGATTTTGTATTAAACAGAAAGTAGCTCAGAAAATATACATTATGTAACTTAAATACCGCACATCCTGAAAATAGTTTGCTCAGAATCGTTAACTGAATCGATTTATATAATTTTTAGTATATATATATCCCAAAAATAATTAAAACTACGGAAATTATTGTAATATTAACCCTGTATTGTTAAAACAAATCGAAATGGACCGTAAGTCAAAGCAATAAGACTTTTAAAATCGCAGTTTTATTTGTATTCATACAAATTCTATCATTCAATACAAAATAAAGAAAAATAAACCTTATGACAAGACCAGTAAGGATGCATATACATGTTAAATTAAAAATGTTGTGTATGTATTATGATTATAACATAATATTCTAATTGGGTGTTTGAGGGTGTGCGTTAATTACGTTACATGTTGTATACCTGTCTGAAAACATTTATTAATACAGTTTGATAATCGTCATAACTCTGTATACCTAGGTATAATTGTCACTTTAAGCTCATTGTAAATTAACCATGTTCTTTATGAGTAAAGAAATAATCATTAAACCTTTATAAGTTTAATTACAATTATCAAAATTATAATTATCGCCACCATTATAATTTTCGTCATATCAGCTGTACAGTAACATAACATCACACCTTTTATCCCCGAACAGGTGGACAGAGGTGCACATTACGGCACTGTACAATATAACAGTCACTTTTCACTATTAATGTTATGAGTACCCTTTGTTTTGTATTGTATTGTATTTCAGGATCATATCAAATTGTTCTTTGGCAAATACTACGTAAATAATGTTACAACTCAAGAATATTCTTTAAAAAAAATAAGTAGCTCACTCCGCCACTTGGGTTCTTTCCGCCGCGTGGTATCACTGACACTGGAGTCCGGCGACAGAGTGCCCACACTCGCTATCTCCTCCTGAGATCCACCTGCTGCAGAAATAACATACGTTGACATAATATAGTACAAACTACTTGAAAGTACACAAGCGTAAAAAGACAAACAATTTTATACTTAGCCAAATATAGCTTTATATTTATTCAATAGACTGGGTACAATTGGTCATTTTCTGATTAAAAATCATCGTTTTCACATAACAGACACGTGCGTTTGTATATAAACTATATTATACACTTCAGGGACTTTTTTAATCCAGGTTGCGTTTACAAACATAAAAGTTTACATATACATTACACCCAAACTTGAAACAACAATTTGTGGATCATACAAAGAGTTGCTCCGTGCGGGAATCGAGCCCGTGACACGTTGCGCGGCAGCCAGTTGCCCAGCCACCGCACCAAACAATGTTGTCAAAAGGAATAAAAACCGTAAATAAAATATCGCGTGATAACCGCCTCCAATGCATTTTTGAATTCGGACAGCAAACAACAAACATATAAAAAAAAGTTTAAGCTGTTTATACCACAATTAAATCTGTACTTTCATCTAGTACAGATGGAATATAAAGACAATAATAATAATTAAAGAAAAGTTCTATATTTTGAAGAAGTATAGTTACCATGTTGCTGTAACCGCTCGAGTCGCCTGAAGAGCCTCTCCCTTTGTTGTTCTACGTCCTTCTGTTGCTCCGCTAGCTCTTGTCGCGCGGCTTGTAACTGCTGGCGTTCTGTAACGCAACGCGTAACGTGTTTTATTATGCCTCAGGAATTTTAAGTGTGGGAGAGCTATGTTTCGGCACGTATGGGCCGGCTCGACAGGAGTGATAACCATCCTCACAGAAAACCGACGTGAAACAGCGCTTTGTCGTGTGAGTGAGGTTACCGGAGGCCCAATCACACCCCTCCCCAGTCTCCTAAATCCCCGAATCCCCCCAAATTCCAAAAGTGTCTATGGGCGGCGCCGATTGCTTACTATCAAGTGATCCGTCTCTTCGTTTACCGGCTTATCCCATAAAAAAGGAAATTTAACTTTATACACAGCTTAGCCATGGTTGTGGCAACAAGTTACTGCGGCTCCGGTTTTAAGCAGGCGTTGGAATGGAGTGGTTGTTAGTCAGTAAGAGTCTGTCGATCACCCAAGGCGAGAACATACATTGATGATTTTATCCCTAGAAAAAGGGACTACTTTGTGAAGGAATTGAAAATGCAGCAACCGAGTTAACTCTGATAGGCAAAATTGGGTGATCAGCTGATTAATCGGCGACGAAAAATTGCGAACGTATTTTCTCGTTAACCACTTCGATTCCTTCTATAATTTTACGTACAAAACTATGTAAAAATGTATCTAGAATAATGGTTGTAAATGAACTGTCTTTAAAATGACATATATGAAAAGGTGTTTTTTGTTGTTTAGTTATTATAGTAAGCAGTATTTTACCTGCAGCCAAAGCAGCGTGGTCCGCGGCGCGCTGAGCGTCGAAGGCGGCGCGGTCCCTGGTGAGCCGCGCCTGCGCGTGTCGCAGTTCCTCGAGCTGGGCGTCCGACCAGTCCGGGGTCCGCGCCCCGCCGCCACCCTGCCAGCGCCAGGCACTTACCTGCGCTTCTAGGCTAGAAGTAAGAAAAGCGATTTAAGATAATCGTGTTGCATCGTTAGCATTGCGCATGTTGATTATGAGTAGGAGTCCCAGTTGTGGCATGAAATTAGTCGAGTAACTTCATTACGTAACATTTACGTAATAAAATAAATAAACTGAAATACTGACTTATGAATCTAAAAACTTAGAATCCCAATATGCGCATAATTATTCAACAAATCTTACAAATAAGTAACTCAAAACTCTCCGGTCGTCCCACAATACTGCTCATAATTATGGGTCCCTATCGTAGCTTGAAACTAGTCGAGCTCCCTCGTAAAACCAGTTAAGAGAGAAACATAAATTAATCAAAAATCGGAATTGAAAACTTATTGAAGTTTATATTATAACTTTCGTGAGACATACTAAAGTAATTATTATGTTTTTCTGCTTACTTACGTAATTAATTGACGAGGAACTTGACTAGTTTCAAGCCGTGCTAGAGGCTCATATTCATGAACAGCATTCCGTGACCCACGACGCGGCGACTGAGTAGCAGCGCAATAGTCACCAAACTTATTGAAGTTTCATTATTACCTGTGTATAGTAGTAAGTTGTTGCCAGACGATGCACGTCAGCGTGTATATAGCGTGTTGCAGTTTGAGCGCGGCCTCCCCGCTGAGTTCGTGTCGCTCCCCTGCTTCGCTCGCTTTCTCTGCCTCCGCCTCGCCGCCCTCCGTCGGCGTGTCCGTCGACATACGGAGCGTGACGTTTGATACTGAAGAAATATTTCAATATTTAAGGAGCAGGTAAGTACAATTCAAATTGTATCATCAGATCAGTAGCTTATGACAAAGCTCTACTTTTGTTGAGGGGTGAAAATCATCCTATGACTCTTCCCGCCTTGGATTAGAGAAAGTGTAAGACTGTTACTGATTTAAGTCCACCCCGTTCCTACTCTTAGTTTTCTACAACCAACCACCCATTAGCCTTTCCGCGGCTAGTGCACTACTGGACCACACTGGAGTGTGAATGAGGTTACCGGAGACCCAATTCTTCCCCATCTAACGAGACGTGGATTGCAGATTTGGGAATGACCCCAAATCTCCAATCTCCAGTCCCCAAATTCCCAATTCCTAAACGGCCGGCAACGCCCTTTAGTATTACGGATGTTCAATGGCAACGCCCATTGTTTACCATCAGGAAATCAGTCTGCCTCCCTACCCCATAATATCAGAGACTTTTTACATGGCATTTTGACGCGATGATAACGTGCGCTGTTTTATGAATGCCATGTAAAGTTTAGTATAAGAAGTATCGGTCAGATTCGGTCACAATGCATCGACGTCTCATTTTAAGGCATAGCATCCATTCAACGCGCTATCGGAGTCTTAACTACTACATATTCACAATTTCAGTATCCTAATTACGAACCTCAAGCTACATACTAAACATGAGAATCATTGCAACTCCCTAAGAAGTCTTTGTTCAACAGTAGAAGACGACAACATACCTCTATGCCTACTAGCATCGAATCCAGCGAAGGTATCTGCTCGCCTTGGTAGTGCGGGGCTCTCGTACGCGACGGAGTGCCTCTCGCCGGCCGAGCTAGTACTGCGGCCTAGCGCTCCGCCACTCTGCCACGGTGCACTGCTCGCTTCTAATGCATCCTGGATGAATATGAGTAGTTTTGCAGTTGGTTGATGGCAGTAGTGAGATATTTGGTCGTGTTTGTTTGGTAATTGGATACACTACACACATTGGATATGTTTTATCTTATTAATAGAGCTATTTAGGTATAGGCCTTATGCTAAACTAAAAAAAAACCTTATTATAAAGTTGAAAATTCGACAAACTTGGCAACCGAATGTTATCATTATCAATGACGAGACTTCCAGTTTAAATTTTCTAACTACAATTTAGTTAATCAGTTAATCGATTGTTACTAAACATGTAATATAATGATGTCAGAAAGAACAATACCATAACAACTTTGCAGACGTCCTGCCACAGCGCGTACTTGTCAGCAGAGGGCGCTGCTAGACGCACGTAGTCTGGGAATACTAGTCCGGGGAACGCTGTGCTGCTACCTGTACACATTAGAACATATGTTGGAGATTGGCACTCAAGTAGTTAGCTTGTAGTTTAGATGACCAGCACCTGTAGCCAAATGCCATTTAGCGCTTGTCTAGAGGTACATGTAGAGTAGAAAACTAAATTATATGGAATTGACGTAAATTTTGACACTTATTAGTGTCATCCCCATACATTTAGTTTTCTACTCTCTCTGTAGACAAGCGCTAAAGTGGCGTTTGGCTAAAAGCACAGACCAGACAGACAGATACACAGACCAGACATACATATTATGTCAAAAAGAAGCGTGTGCAGTGATTGACTTTAACTAGACTACAATATGAACGAACGTTATTATATATTGTGTCATTTTACAGTTATATAAGTGAGTATGTAAAGAGATTATTCATTGCCTAGAAAAAAACTAAAGCAAAGAAAAGAACAGGGTCATCTAGAGACATAGATCTGTTCAAAAAATAATGCACTAGGGAACTATTTAGAAAATATGAAATGCATGCACAAATAATAAACAAAACATAACAACAACAACAAGCACTTTTAACGAAAACACAAACAAAAAAAAATAAAGAAAAGAAAAAATACTAAATACTGGACATCGATACTAACGCAACTGACCTGTGTGTGGCAGTGTAAGCCACGTCTCGTCCGTGATGCCGACCATTTTCATCTGCAGCGCCATCTTCTCTTCGAGTAACGTCGCGTGCTCCCTGTCCTTAGCCCTTAGCGCCTCTGTGTTAACAAAAGCGTTGATATATTTTGAACATTGTTTTTAAAGTAGTTTTTCTGTGTTTAGGAGTATTTATACTCAACGTGATGTGCTTGGGTTATTTTGTACGTCACGGTGATGGTTGAAAAAAAATAGAGTAATTAAGTATGACTCAAATAATGTTTTAATTCTTTGTTTTTTTTTTATTATTTTCGATCCGTAATAGTCTTTTGTCATATCAGTTTTATGTAAACATCAGCAAGTTGATGGTTCATTATGTTTAGTAAACACAGTTGCACCTTTACGCAAGCTATAATATAAACTTCCATTTGAATTGAAAAAGTGAAGTCTCCGGATAAATTCACGATTAAGTTCATGACTTTTTAGATTTCCATAATTATTATTATTTTGCAACATGAAATAAGTGAATCAAGTAAGTTTATTTCTCCAAATAGGCTACAAGGCAGCACTTTTGCACGTCAATTTTATCAAGCGAACGATGAGGCCGACATGTATCACAGTGAGTAGTGTAAATGCTCTAACAGTAAAATAACATTTCATTTTAATTTAATATACGAGTAAACAATATCTGCAACATACAAACAAATGGATAGTGCGCAATTATCACAAAGGGTATACAAACTAACAAATAATCTTTTTAAAATATAATCACATTTAATAATTGAATAAATTAAAAACATTGATAGTAGTCTACACAATTAATTGTAAATTAATCAAAATTAATCCACACAGTTTAATGTAAAGAAATTGTTTTAAAGTGCGTCAGTCGAAAGGCTGTCCTGTAATGGTAGCAAGTGAGTAATCAAGCCAATTTATGCTGTTACTAGCTTCTTAGGGCTTCGCCCGTCGTTACGTGGAATAAAAAGTGGCCTATGTCATATTCCAGAGACTTTCCCCCCTTCGAAAAACATAATCTACCACCGTTCCAAATATCATCTCGATCCCTTCAGCCGTTTTGACGTAAAAGAGTAACAAACAAACAAACACACAAACACACACACACAGAAATAAATGAACATCCTCACAAACTTTCGCAATTGTAATATTAGTAGGATCGTTTGCAAATAATGTGTTGTTCCTTTTTTCAGTTTACTTTTAAATGTAATTCTATTTTATTGGAATGACATAGGCCATATTTTAGTTATTAATAGTCTATCATTTGATAAGGCAGACTGGGATTAGTTCTCTCGCGAGTTGGTTGAGCAACTGATATTTGTGACGGTCGGTCCATGAATAGCGAAGTTATCACCTCTCTTTTGACAATAAATAAATTTTGGTATTCGTTTGTTTCGTGACGTAACATTCATATCTTTACATTTGAACGTGATTATTGTCATGTTCTAATAAACGGAATGTAAGATTTTTTTTTGATGTCATATTGACACAGCCACGGTTTAACGTGTTCTTGACTCATATTAGTCATATTTCATTAAAATTTTTTTGGCTACCATAAAGCGTTCTTCCAACAAACGACATTTTGCCCGCTACACAATATTTTTCATAATTTTCTGCTTTCAATGCCACTTTAACTATTTCAGAAGATTACTCGACCAGTTTCAAACCACACTAGGGTCTTATAAACATGAATAGCATTGCGTCGCGCAGCCAACTGACGCTTGCCTCGTCGCGCCATAACCCATTATCAATTAATATTATAAATGTATGACTTACAATACAAAAATCCCATTTTTTTCACAAAATGATGACCATATTATGCAATAAAACATTTAGAAATATGAATTTTCAAAAGCTATATTTTGCATTTACAGAGTTTTTAGACAAGATGTCGCCGTTGTAGATCTAAAGGACAGCCTTTGTATGACAAACGTATCATGCCGCCATGCAACAAGCATTATTACTTAGTATTGTATCACCTTCTATTTGCCACCATGGAGTCTCATCTGTTCGATAACAAAATTTTATATTCATCGTTTGCTATTCTTTTTATTTGATAGGTAAATTGTACTGGTAGCATTTATACTATAATGATCTTTCTTTTTTGTAGTCATATTCTTAATTTTTTTTGTAATAAAAATTTTATATAAACGTATCGTTTATTTGCATTTGTTTTGTGGTCATTTATTTGGTAGACATGTTTTACCCGACTGTAGGAAGAGTATTGTCTTTTCGATATTTTTTAGAATATTCGGTTCTAGTCCATTAAATTATGTATCATGCTACCAGAACGATTTAACCTGTAGCGCAACTTATTCAAAACTGTCAACTTTCTTTGAATAAATTACTTTGAGAATACTACACGATACAATAATTTTGGAAATATTAGATTGTAAATGCCAATCGGTGTTTTACTAAGAACTTAGGTCGAAATATGACATTACTTTGCATTATACATAATACGTCTTTTCTTTTTATAATGCCCCACAAGCTAATATATTCACTTCGACCCAAATTCATACTCCATTAAACAACCGTCCGTTCATTATAACAAAAACATCCTTATTTCATAAGCATTAAGACTGACATTCGCACTACACATACTCATCAAATTATTCATGAACGAACGGTCGTAAGTTTCAAAGCGTTCAATCAAACATGAACAGGTATTTTTATAGTGGTATAAGGTACATACCAGTGATCAGTCTTATATTCTCATGCCTGGCGTCCAGTTGCCGCTGCCTCTCCTCGGCAGAGGGCGCCGTCGCTCCTACTTCTGATTCTTCTACCTCATCCGGACAACTCTGTACTACCGCTCTGGTGGAGAATATTGTATTATGAACCGTATTTTTATAAGTTTAAACATTATTATTGTGAAATTGTCGAGTTTATCAAAATTCCAACAGATCGACCTTCTGTCGTATTTGAAAGTTTTAAATGTTTTCTAACTTCGTAAATAAAATTATTACTTTAAAAAATAAAAATAAAAATTGTTCTTTTAGTATAATAGGGTAGATGCCTAATTTTTATTTTTAATGTCCGGCTGGTAGATTATTTTAAATCATTAGACATATATTTTTTAGAGGTATTTTCTTACAGAAACGAATACTTTCGATGATATATTGATTTGAAATGTCGCGTGACGTCACTTCTAAGTACATTTTATACGTAGAAATGACGTTTTAGCCCCCACTCCTAAGCGTTTGATTCGTTTTATCTAAGTATTGTTTTATTATACAACAAAATAAAAAAAATACGTGTCTAATATTTTTTCATTACCTAAATTACGGAATAATTAGATTTTTAATTTTCATACCCTGTAGGCTACCCAATTGCTCAAACATTTCACAATCTACTAACCAAGTTTTACGAATGAGAAACAACGCTTGTTGTTTCAATATGTGGGTCAGGTTACTGGACGGTCAATTAAAAAGAAAATGGTCATGCATTTGTTACTTTAGTGTTACCGATTGCTTACCAACGGGTGATCTATTTACCGCAATATCAAATAAAAAGTCTATGTTGTTGACAGAAATTCAACAGAAGTAATTCCCAAAAATCAATCTTAATCCAAAGATATTAAAATTGGAATTGATTTATTAATTGTTCACATGAAAATTAAATAAACAGTTTCCAACATACCTGATGGCCTGTATCCAGGTCTGTATATCCTTTGGTCGATGCACCCTGAGTTCGAACATCTCCGGCTCAGTGGGTCCGCTGCATATCAAGTACAGACCGCGACCCTCCGCGCCTGCCTTCTCGCGGACTAGTAGCTTTACCAGGGATACTACACCCGTCTGGTAATACAATAATTAATTAATTGTTAACATTCTAATTTGATATCCCAAACCCCATCCTCGTATCTTCAACAATATTCAAATTCCTAATCCCTTTTTGTTTTACACGTACGACGCTCTGATTGGCCGGCTGCCATGAATCAACCAATCAGAGGGCTCGTATTAAGGACCCAAAGCGCCGAACACGGTCTCGTTTCGAGTACGTTTAACGTAAAACAACCTCGTACTAAGGCTTGAGCATAAACCGTATATTTATGTTGAAAGAATAACACGCCCATCAGTACTAGTTATTACTTATTACATTTTCAACTTTTACACCTAAAGAATAAAGCACAAAACCATACTATCAACTCACCTTGTTATCAGGCGTAAAGAACGTATATTTGTTGTTATTATCGTGGAGGAAGAACAGTACGTCTGTCAGTACTATCACCAGTAGTGTTTGCATCTTACTGCGACCCTGCATTAATGTTGCTACGCCTTCGAATCTAGGTGCAAAGAGAACTTTGATAAGTAGGTTTTAAGATGTGTTTTATAATGTGTGGTATCTTCAAGAAATTGAATGAATAATAATTATTCAGTACAGTGGAGCCCCGGTAGTTCGACAAACATGTTGCACGGCAGTGTCGAACTATCGAATTTGTCGGATTATAGAGTACTGCCTAAGACCCCCTATAGTCCGATTTGTTTTACAAAAGAGAACCTTATAATCCGGCAAATTACAGATCCAATGATAAGATTACAAATCATACTTCGTTGTGAATGTCAAATTTAGTAAATTATACAAGACAAGTATACAAACAATGTACATATGTACTAAAATAATCAAACTTTATGAATCAATTTAAAACTAAGCAATCAGAATCAAAACAATACCCTACGCGTCGAGCACAATAGTGATAGTGCGTACAAGTTGTTACTTGTTGTTGTTCAATCGTGAATTAACGAATACATGTATGTAATAAACGATGTCGGATTATTGGGGGTGCCGGATTAGCCAGGGGCCGGATTACCGGGGCTCCACTGTATTAGGCTTAATTTCACCTCACCCCCTATTACACGGGACTCATAAAATAAATAGTGAAAAGTGGGAGTTACATTGTATAGTGGCATTATGTAAGTGCCGTAATGTGCACCTCTGCCTACCCCTTCGGGGATAAAAGGCGTGATGTTACGTTTATGCTTAATTTTAGTTTTACTGATTGGTTCAAGACCAAAATTCTAAGATTTGTAATGGGTTAGCTAAATTAGAATTTTTTCGTATTCTGCATTTACAAATTCATCGTCTTTTTGCAAAAGTGTAAAAAAAAGATAAATTTAGTCATCTTATGTGTGGTTCACATTGATATGAAACTTAATTCCTCAACCTTTTCAATAAACTTTCTGCCGAGCTCTATAAAACTGTAATAAACTGTCGCCTGCAGTGTATCTAAACCGTACTGTTTTTTAAAAAGCCCACAATAATATGTTATCTGTTACTTCTTCACGGGTTTCTCTGGGCGGTGCTGATTGCTCACCATCTCGTGATTCGTCTTCTCATTTGCTTACATAACATCAAGCCATTTATTTCCGAAGGGGTTAGGCAGAGGTGCACATCCCGGCACTTAATGCCACTGTACAATGTAACACCCACTTATCACTATTTATGTTATGAGTCCCACGTAATAGGGGGTGAGCCTATTGCCATATACTACCACAATTCCAGACTCAATGCTATTACTGAGAATTTTTAAAAAAGTAGTACTTTGTCCGACCCGGGAATCGAACAGGAGACTACTTGCTCGGCAGTCGCACTTGCAACGCCTCGGCGAACGAGGCAGTCACTTATTACCTCATTTGATTACAATCTCGTAGAATAAAAAGTGTACTCACTTCAAGCTCCGATTCCCCTGCAGTATATCGCTCTTCTTGAACTTGCGTCCCCTGAAGTTGGCGAATGACTTGGCGTCGATGCGGTGGTATATCTCCAACTTACGGTCCTCGCGCTCCTTCGCAGCTACCTGATTGTCCACGTCCACTAGGATCTCCTGGAAACAGAAGATTGACCAAGGTTGAATTAAAAGATCTGAATGCCTAATGTTTTTGGGACGTTTTCAGAAAATATGACGTAATTCAACACATTCCTACATGAGCAGTTATATCGCATTTCTACAATCTTTTAGATGTAAGACGACAACGGTAGGCACAGTGGCTGGGCGAAATCTATTCTGGCATGGAATAATTCCTTTTTTAATCCACATGATTGTTGTTTCCAGTCTAGGTGATGTGTACGAGATTATGTATTTGTAAACGCACCCTCGCATTGTTAAAAAAAAACTGTCTAAAACTTGATGATAGATTTCATCAGATTTTAGACAGCTTTTTAGGACCTTTCCCCTACGCAAAACCAAAGGAATAATGGAAATAGGTTACAAGGGTAATAATGTCACCAAAATCTGCACAGCAAATTCAACCATATTTCTCAAGTAATAAAGCATATAATACCTTGACTCCACAGAGCGCGCGTTGCAACAAGTCTCGCTCAGTGAGGTCGTCCCCTGCAGTCTTCAGTAGCGGCTCCAACAGTAGCGGGTACTTTGTTAGACGCTGGGCTACGAAGAGGACGCATTCTGGGACACCCTGTGGACAAACAAAAAGTTACGGAGTTTTGTAGGTACGCAAAATTAATTTGATATTCTTTTTTTTCTATAAAAAATATAACTTTCATAGGCACAATTTGATAGAACTAGCTTTGCCTAGCAGTGGAACAGCTTACTAATTGATCGACCTGAGAAAAGCAAGTTAAGATAAGGAAATTTATTAATACTAGCTTCTAACAGTAAATTCCGTCAAAAGTCATGGCTTCCGAGCTTTAGATCAAGAACCGTTTCGTACTTGTTTTGTGGAAAAAATTCGCATCTGTAGAGTTTATTTATCTGAACACGCTACTTATTTCTAGTATTACTAGTTCGAATACAAAGGAATGTTTGTGATGTATAATTTACTAGCGACCCGCCCCGGCTTCGCACGGGTGCAATATGTATATACATACAAACCTTCCTTAAGAATCACTCTATCTATTAAAAAAAACCGCATCAAAATCCGTTGCGTAGTTTTAAAGATCTAAGCATACATACGGACATACAGCGAAAGCGACTTTGTTTTATACTATGTATTGATTCATAGAGAATGGCAATCTTATACTATTATTATATAAAGCGGAAGAGTTTGTTATTATTTTTTTGTTTGAACGCGCTAATCTCCGTCACTACAAGTCTGATTTGAATATTTTTTTGTGTTGGATAGCGCATTTATCGAGGATGGCTATAGACTATAAAATATCACGCTACGACCATTAGGAGCTGAGCAGAGCGTGTGAAACCGCACGGAAGTAGCTAGTACGCAATAAAACATCACGCCATGGTCAGTAATACCTGAGCACCAAGTGAAACTGCGGAGCAATAACCAGTTGTTAATATAAGTAAGATAATCCATACCTTCTTCCTCAACAGTGGGTTCTGTTGACACTTCCTGATGAACCGCGACAGTCTCGGCTCCCTCGTACAGCACTCCTTGAACACCTCCACTGCGTCGCGGTGACGGGAACAAAACTCACCTATAGGGGTTAATTGTAATGTCAATTGTGTTTCTGTGGTGTTAGGGTTGGTTTTAGAATGATTCGTAATAGTATCGTAGGGTAAGTATTATTCTGAATCATTTAGATTTGCCCCATCGTGGTTTAAATGCATAATGAAAACTAAACTTTTTATTACTTTGCGACTGTCAAAGGTAGTTGTCGCATATGTAAATTTAAAAGAAAGGTTCTTGAGTTAGGAATAGAGAAAGAATTTTTAGATTTTCGAAATTTTTTAGTCCTGCTAATGACTTTTTTTGTTTATTTATTTATTTATTAATACTTTATTGAACACACAGAAAAAAAATTGTAAACATTGCAATAGTAATTTCAGTACAATGGGCGGTTTTATCACACACATGATTGTGATGACACAATGGGGATGATGACAGGGTATGAAAATTAAAAATATAATTAGTCCGTAAGTTAGGTAATGAAAAAATATTAGACACGTATTTTTTTATTTTGTCGTATAATAAAACAATTAGATAAAACGAATCAAAGTTAAGGAGTGGGGGCTAAAACGTCATTTCTTAGTATAAAATGTACTGAGAAGTGACGTCACGCGACATTTCAAATCAATATATCTTCGAAACTATTCGTTTCTGTAAGAAAAGAAAAAATACGTGTCTAATGTTTTTAAATAATCTATCAGACGGACATTAAAATAAAAATTAGTCGTCTGCCCCATTTGGCCGTCAGTTAAATAACTCCCTAAAGTATAGCATTCATTCTCCTTTTCATGGTTACTCCTAAACCACTTCCCAACTAAGCATTACCCTTATAACTCACCCATGTCCCTTGTGCAGTCCCTAAAGGGGTGAGCGCCCTTACTTTAATTTGACTGTAAAGAAATATAAGTATGATATTTTTTTATAGCATCAGTCGGTAGACGAGCAGTCGGATCACCTGATGGTAAGCAATCGGCGCCGCCCATGGATACTTGAAACACCAAAGCGTTACAAATGCGTTACCGGCTGTTACATGTATGATATGAACATCACTAATTAGTAAGTAGTGGCCCCCTCACTATAATGTGTTATATAAGGTAGAATACTATTGATTAACGGCGCTGTCTACCTGTCATAGTCTGGTGTGTGTACACGTCGTGCGCCCTGCACATTATTGTAATAAATCCAAGTATTACAAAAACCGTCTACAAATTATTTTTTTTCACTACAAATTAAATTATATCACTTTCGAGCGTCCTCGAAAACTATCGAGCTTCCTCGATGACTTTCGAGCGTCCTCGAAATCAATCGAGCGTTCTCGAAAACTATCGAGCGTCCTCGATCACTTTCGAGCGTCCTCAGAATCAATCGAGCGTTCTCGAAAACTATCGAGCGTCCTCGATCACTTTCGAGCGTCCTCGAAAACTATCGAGCGTCCTCGATCACTTACGAGCGTCCTCGAAATCAATCGAGCGTCCTCGAAAACGATCGAGCGTCCTCGATCACTTTCGAGCGTCCTCGAAAACTATCGAGCATTCTCGAAAACTATCGAGCGTCCTCGATCACTTTCGAGCGTCCTCGAAATCAATCGAGCGTCCTCGAAAACGATCGAGCGTCCTCGATCACTTTCGAGCGTCCTCGAAATCAATCGAGCGTCCTCGAAAACTATCGAGCGTCCTCGATCACTTTCGAGCGTCCTCGAAATCAATCGAGCGGCCTCGAAAACTATCGAGCGTCCTCGAAATCAATCGAGCGTCCTCGAAAACGATCGAGCGTCCTCGATCACTTTCGAGCGTCCTCGAAAACTATCGAGCGTCCTCGATCACTTTCGAGCGTCCTCGATCACTTTCGAGCGTCCTCGAAAACGATCGAGCGTCCTCGAAAACTATCGAGCGTCCTCGAAAACGATCGAGCGTCCTCGATCACTTTCGAGCGTCCTCGATCACTTTCGAGCGTCCTCGAAAACTATCGAGCATTCTCGAAAACTATCGAGCGTCCTCGATCACTTTCGAGCGTCCTCGAAATCAATCGAGCGTCCTCGAAAACTATCGAGCGTCCTCGATCACTTTCGAGCGTCCTCGAAAACTATCGAGCGTCCTCGATCACTTTCGAGCGTCCTCGATCACTTTCGAGCGTCCTCGAAAACTATCGAGCGTCCTCGATCACTTTCGAGCGTCCTCGAAATCACTCGAGCGTCCTCGAAAATTATCGAGCGTCCTCGATCACTTTCGAGCATCCTCGAAAATAATCGAGCGTCCTCGATCACTTTCGAGCGTCCTCGAAAACTATCGAGCGGCCTTGAAAACTGTCGAGCGTCCTCGAAAACTATCGAGCGTCCTCGATCACTTTCGAGCGTCCTCGAAATCAATCGAACGTCCTCGAAAATTATCGAGCGTCCTCGATCACTTTCGAGCGTCCTCGAAATTAATCGAGCATCCTCGATCACTTTCGAGCGTCCTCGAAAACTATCGAGCGTCCTCGAAAACTATCGAGCGTCCTCGATCACTTTCGAGCGTCCTCGAAATCAATCGAGCGTCCTCGAATGTCTACCTGTCATAGTCTGGTGTGTGTACACGTCGTGCGCCCTGCACATTATTGTAATAAATCCAAGTATTATAAATCCGTCTACAAATTATTAATCCACCAACGTAACACCGGCCTTTTGGGAATTTGGAATTTGAGGATTGTGGAGGGACTAGGGAGGGGAGTAATTGGACCTCACTCAGACGACAAACAACACAACGCAAGCGTTGTTTCACGTCGGTTTTCTGCTCGGCCGTGGTATCACTCCGGTCGAGCCGGCCCATTCGTGCCGAAGCATGGCTCTCCCACACTTACCGTAAGCAGCCTTGAGTTTGTGATGCGCGGGCGGGGCGAAGGTGTCGCAGAGTATGTCGGCGATGGAGGCGACGGCGGGCGCGAGTCGCTGTCGCGCGCGCAGGCGAGCCAGCAGCGCCGCGTGCAGCGCCCACAGCTCGTCCACGCGCGGGAACATGCGCGCCACCTGCGCCGCAGACACGCCCGCGCCGCGGACCATGCCTTCCGCGAACATCTGGGAACGAATTATCTTTTAAAAAACTTTGCCCCACACTAACTTTTTCTCCTGTGTCGTGGGTGCGTTTACAAACATACAGTCTACATACACATGACACCCAAACCAAAAATAAGAATTTGTGGTTCACACAAAGAGTTGCTCCATACGGGAATCGAACCCACTACATGTTGCGCGGCAGCCGGTTGCCCAGCTACCACACCAACCGTGTCAGTGTTAAGTAAATCACTACGACCGAGTAATTTGAATGTGCACGTCTCACAATAAACATTTTTTATTCTTACAAATATTTTTATAAATTGATGAATCCCCACCACGAACTCTATTATAGACCTTATTTCCAATATTTAGAGACTACTTTTGCATGAATGACAAGTGCGACTGCCGGGCAAGGATTCTCGGGTTCGATTCCCGAGTCGACCAAAGTATTACTGTTTTTGCGTGCTAAGTCTGAAATTGTGGCCGGCCCTATTACATGGGACTCATAACATACATAGTGAAAACTGGGTGACACAGTAGCATGAAGTGCCGGACGCACATGTTCACCTCTGCCTATCTCTTATTATGTTATGTATTGTATGAAAAAAATTTGGGTATTTTTATCAAGTGATTAATGGATTCTTTACCTTCTGCATAAGCCTGATGGTCAAGCAATGGTGTTTCTCCGTCAGTATCAACTCGTAGATGTGCTCCTGCCGCTTTGTCTCTCTGTCACCAAGTTGTCTGGAAACATACACAATGTTTTTAGTTTCTGTCAATACTTCTTTTATGATTTAACCCTTTGAGTACCGTCATTATAGACAAAATTAAAGAACAATAGGTTGCGGTCACCGGTGTCCTCGCGGTGTTTGACAGTTTAAATCAAAGACAAAGCATTTATTTCAATTAGTCCTTTGTTTTTAGGGGGAAAATCATCGAATGACTGCTCCCGCCTGGGTGAGGCGGGAGGGAGCGTCAGACTCTTACTGACTAAAAACCACCCCGTTCCTTCTCCTGCGCTTCGAACCGGAGCCCCGGTAACCCGATAGGTTCAGCGTGACTTCAATTAGTCCTTAGGGGTCCATAAATTACATCACACGAATTTCATGAATTTTCTCAATCCCTCCGCCGTCCTTTTCACAGCTAGTCACATTTGTAAGACTCCCTCCTCTAGTGTGACGTCACATTTTGCTGAATCACAGTATAGAAACTATTGTTATTTTTATTTCCACTTAAAATACTTTAAAAAAATATTAATGCCAAATCAAACAATTAACAAAATAAAAAACAGTAATACCATTATATTTCGTATTTTATTAATACGGATATTAATAGTTTTTGAAATGTAATATTACAAAGTTTTGGATTTCTCCCTCCCCCTTGTCACACAATGGCACACTTCGTCGACCCCCTCCCTCATTCTCACATTAAACTGTCAAACACCAAGCGGTCACCGGTGACCGCGACCTATTGTTCTTTAATTGTGTCTATAAATACGGTACTCGACGAGTTATGGGCCTGTTTCACAATATCTGAATAGCTGTTATCTACCAGAAAATTTTGAATTAAGAACGTAATTTCTATGAACTATCTGTCACATAAGTTTATCAGGTACGGTAATTATATGGAGGTAGTGAAACCGGACAACCGGCGCTAAAAGTACCTACATATTATAATGATCTTACTTAGCAAGTCCCTTAGGCGCCCCGGCGGCCCAAGTATCGGGTTCACAGGCTCCTAGTCCTAGACGTATCGCTTCGTCTCCGAGCTGCTCCGGTGTCAGGAATACTTCGGGCCATTCTGATACGCCTGCGTCGTCGGAGGCGCTGGGGATTGAAAGAAACGGTAATGTTCATATTTGATGAGTTTCAACTTACAGTACTGGTGATAAACTCAGAATTCCTATCAATCTCTACATCTTTTTGTGGTGGGTGCGTTGACCCGCCGCCGCCATAACTTCCCAAAACCGCTGCAACTCCTGTAAGCCAGGATCTACAGTAGATACAACCATGAAAACACCGGAACACTGAAGTCCGGCGCGTCCCAGGGACATGAATAACTGTCTTGGTTCCCGCAACGAAGTGAATCAGAAGATATTATAAGAGGAGAAGAAAAAGAACGATAGTTTTCACTTCCCTCGGTGAATTACAGCAGAAGACAGAGTGAATTAAGCCTAAAGGCACAAAGAAAAGAGACTGTACAACTGGGTGAAGCCCAGTCGCCAAGCACAACGAAAATTTGACTAAAATCTAAGTGGGTCCTATGTGTGAGCTGTTATTTATACATCACTTACATACAGAACCTGAAAAATAGTTTGTTAATATGTTATTAACAAACTATTTTTCACACAATACGGGGATCGAACCCGCAAAACGTTATGTAATCGGTGCCATCTATACACACCTGGCACACCAAATGAGTTACGAGTGCATTGCCGGTCTTTTCGCGATTTGGGGATCAGTCCTTTCCTCTTTTAGTTTTATGTATATTTTGCAACACTTACTTGCTCTGGTCGTGTTTGTGGTCGGAGCCATCTTTCTCGTCATTGTAGATGTGGCTGGTGCTGTAAATACAAACGCAGTGTTACCACTAGTAATAAAGAAGAAAGTTTTCTTGAAGATGGCAACACAGAACAATCATGTTTACTTGGAAGAATAAGCTATGATTTTATTACGTCACCGATCGATGTCACAAGTCGGAGTCACGTTTTAAATGGTCTAATCTTACCGAACTAGAGGATTCTAATGTCCTTTTAATGTTTATTATAATTTAATTTATGTCATGTACTGAAAGGCTACAATTTTAAGTTGTATTTAAATATCGTACTATCTCTTTCATTTGACAAAGAATTTGTAGAAACAGAACTATACTTAAGCGCGACTTAATATTTAGTAGCGTTCGAGTACTTCAGCGTTAGTCTCTTAGAATCTCTCATAGATGTAAATGCAATGTATTACACTCATATTCAAAAATACAAAATTAAACTAACATTATTGTTCCACATTGCCACACAAAAATATAAAATCAAAAGGCAGACAGGGTCAAATCAACCGACGCGACAGGACATTACAGTTTGGACCTCAAATACTCTTACACAGAACAATATTAACTCCAATTTATTTAATTCTTATATTTAAAGTTCAGCAAAGCCTAAATAATAAGAAGAAGCGTAGAAACTCACAATACACGTGGCATGCAGAATTTTGAATTAAAAAAGTAAATTAAAAAGTAAAAGATTTAATCAAAGATAGCTTCGTTGCTGCTTCGAAGAAATTTCTACATGCTGTTTCAAGGTAAAACGTGTTCTATTGAAAAGGGATTAAAGTGCTAATCGTAAAAGCTAATTTGTTAAAACAAACAACTTTCTGTTACTCGAGTCTTAATACGAGTTTGTTTTACGTTTAAAATAATCGAAACGCCGCATTCGGCGCTCTGATTGGTCGGTTCATTGGAGCCGGCCTGTGATGATAAAATAAGCCTTAAGTAATAAATAATAACTTCCATGTTTATAACGCGCTCATGTGAAAAAACTAAAACCGTTTCTGAATTATTTAGTTTCATCCCAGATTTGTCCATACAGCTAACTAAGAACAACTAACAACAGATAGCATTCTATCAATATTTCGGTTTGATCTTCAATATAACAGAACTTGGATACCAATAAAAGATTAAATAAAGTAACAATTTTCCATATATACAGATTTTAATAATCCCTTTTCAATAGAACTTGTTATGAAACCCTCAAAACAGAAACCTGTGACCTAAAAAACAAAAAAACAGAACATACCACCAGCAAAACTTTGATAATAACAATAAAAACAATATTTTCAAATTGAATAAGTGCTACAACAATTTCAAATAGAAGTTTTTCAAACTACCGTCTTGACAGATAGATAATACACAAGTAAGGCATCGGTGGATGATTCGAGAATATTCTAGAAGAAACTGTCGATGTGTGAATTGCGCGGTGTTCTCGAAGAAGCTAGTGAACTTATGACCTTCGTTTTATGTTGTGCAACAATACGTCTTATGATTAGGTAGTTATGGTGTATTTTACAATACTGTGCTTTTATGTCTTCGCTGTATTATTATTACTTTTTTATGTTTATTAAATAACTTTAAGTTAACTTAAAGTTAATGTAGCTTAGATATTTTTTTATTCATAGAAGCTTATTTAGTGTCACGCAACAATTTAGTTCTAGCTAGCGACACTACATAATGTTTTATTTGTGGCTCAAGATAACTTAAAAGGCGACTAGCTGTATAAAGTTTGGATTGAAAACTTCAAGATTATCATCACAAATCCAACCGACCCTGAACACGCACGCCCTACGAGGAGTACACAACCGCACAAACAAGTGAACAGATAGACAGAGAGAACAAACAACGATGTATGTGAATGTATGTATGGATGAGAGAGATAGAAATAGGCAGCTTGTTGGCAGCATTCCTGCACTTACTGCACGCCGAGTTTTGTTGCGACGCGACGCCACGGCGAGTAGCATCCGGACTTCTTGCTGTGTGGGTGCCGCGACAATACAACACACGTGTACATATGTGTGCGTGGCCAGTACTGGCCAGTTACCGCGAGTGGAGACTACGAGGTTGCAGTTTCAAATATCGAATTTGGAATCTATTACACAGGGTGTCCCTGTGTGTGTACGTGTTTATGAAAGAATAAGCTCATCGTACAAAATTAAAAATAACGGCCAATCATTGAAAACCAAAATTTATAATAGCGTAATGTTTAGTGGATTTATTAAGGAAAAATATTTATTTTTTTAATTTTGTATGCCACCTCGACATCTCCACAAACCAATGATACTTATAAGAAAAACATTCCGTTCACCGAAAAATAAAAATGTAAAACCAACGAAAACACGAAGTTCATAGCTTACAGGGAAATTAACATAGCAGAGAAGTAGCTGACAGACGTCGAAGTTATATACAAAGATTAAATAAATAGCTAGAGAACGAAGCAAAATATAATATCGATAGGACGCACAGATTACGTACTATACAGAGAACTACAATCAATGTCCTAAGGGTAGCTTGACATAAATGAAACCTTATTTGCATAGCAACACTAATAAACGCTGGCTACGTGCACTCTGACATTCTTTTTAAATTTACTTTTTTATTATGTTCCTAATTTAAAAAGTTAGGTCGTTAACTACGTTATTATGTGCAGCACGAGTTTTGTTTATTCTTCTATTATTATGGGTAAAATGCAATGTCTATTAATTGTTATAACATAATATGTCCTTAGTTATAAAAACCTTTTTAAACTGTCAAACACCAAGCGGTCACCGGTGACCGCGACCTATTGTTCTTTAATTGTGTCTATAAAACCGGTACTCGACGAGTTAATTTGAAGTATGGTGAGTCATCTGTACAGTATATAATCTGTGGTGTAAATAATAATAATAATATAATAATAAAAAATAATTGATATAATAAATAACACCTTGTGTATCCCTTATATTACATGACATTGAATTTTAACGAACCTATAAATGTTCTCCTGTATTGCTATTCAAATTGTAAAGGTGTAAAGAATCGAGTACTCTTTGATGGATGGTTTAGAAGCACTGAAATACTTTGGAAGACTTTGGAAAGCTTGTTGTTTATCGAATAAACAGTGTATCGATTTAAATCGATACCTTTTTTTAAACGTGGAAACTAAAAGCTTTATGAGTTATATCACTCTAGATTTATTTCTTGTTAGTAAGTGTACAATAAAGTTGTTGTATTTTAATTATTATAAGTTGTTTATAACTTTTCTTTAATATAAATATTTTAAAAGCATCTATACCTTGTTGGGTCATCACTACAAAACCCATCCCAATTTTAGGTAATGTAATTTTATCTAAACCAAAAATCAAAAGCGACCTTACTAAAACTCTTTACACCGTATCTTATAATTGCATATTAATTAATTATTATCGCACGCAAAACAATAAAAATGCACCAGCGTGTCACCGACGGTTCAACGGTTGCAATCAAGTACAAAGCTGCAAAATATATGCCGTACATACGTCACTACGCATTCTGCAAATTTTGTTTTTAATTGTGAATTTATTTTGGGGGCACGCGGTCGCTTCTCCTTGGGTTCGTTGTTCAAATCTCAGAAAAACATTTGCTCCTTCAAACACTTTAATTTTTTTAAGGGGGGAATATCATCGAATGACTTCTCCCGCCTGGGTGAGGCTGGAGGGATTGTCAGAACCTACTGGCTAAAAATCACTCCGTTCCTTCTCCTACACTTCGAGCCGGAGCCCCGGTAACCCGTTAGGTTCTCCGCTAACATACACTAGTATAGGGTCGTGTGGTGAAAGGCCTTAAGTCTCGTAAGAACTTACAAAAGACATTTACTTTTTAGAATATTCAATTTTAAACTGCGATATTGAAACCGTCTGCCGAGCGTGGATTTTATGTAGACAAGGCTCGTAGTTAGTGAACTGAAATAGGCTATTTTATTTTGAATATTGCTTCATTTTAGTCCAGATTGAATTTGATTTTGCAATATTAGTGATTTACATGGTACGCTTATAGATGTCCTTTTTTACTTTTATGCACTTGCCTTAAAATTTTGTGCGAAGATTCATTGTTCAGTGGATGGACACTTAAAACTGTTTTACTTAGATCTTTTACAACTCTTACATTACACAAAAAAAGGATCCATTTTAATTCAGTATTCTTTGAGCTAGTATTCAATAACAAACGTTCATTTAATTGAGATTTGAAAAACAATTAATAAGAAGCAGCGACAAGTTACTCCCCTTCGATATTTAGTTCAGAACTCGAAAGATAGATGGCGTACTTACCTATTGGTGTTCTGTGATTGGCTGGAGACGGAGCTACGCTTGCTGCTCTTACCACTGTTGGCGCTCAGAGACTTGGCGACTGATGTCTGAAGAGTTAAAGAAATGTGCATGTTATGGTTATTGAAATAAAGTTTACTTTTGCTTGATTTTAATTATAATATATTTTATGAAGAAATTCTACATTCGTATGGCTTTTATTGGAAGGTTGTTTGTGTGCATTGTGAGACGTACCTTTGAAGCTTTCGGCTTACTGCAGTCGAAGTAGTCTTTGCACACGTTCTGATGCACCGTTTTCGTGCAATCTGAAATGATAATTACAATTCATCGGTGTGGTAGTACTTTCAGTAAGGACGATGCTCAGCTTCAGCTTTGTTTTATAAGGATTTATAGGCAGTTGCATTTTTGCCACTTACTCGTTGTCGATAATGTCTATCGATGCATGCTGATTTGTAAATTGGGACCAAAATTTATTCTGTACCCGTATTTACAAAATAATATACTGAATAAGTTTCGAAAATAAAAAATACTGTATTTCATATTAAATAACCAAACATTATTATAACGGTTATAAGGAGGTCCAATAACCACCCTCCCCAATATCTGAATCCCCAACGATTGTCATATTCCTAATCGCCAAAACGCCGGTAACGCACTTGCAACACCTTTTGTGTTTGAGGTGTCCATGGGCGACGCCGACTGCTTACCATCTAGTGATCCGTCTGCCCGTTTACCGGCTTATCCCATAAAAATACTTTAAAAACTTAAAATACAGGAGTATACAAAATATTCATAACTTACTGTCGCAGTATAGCGCGGGTTTGTCAGCGAGCGCCCGTCCGCACCAGTCGCAGTCCCCGCCGGAGCAGGCCGCGGACCACGCATGCGCGGTCTTGCGAGATTTGTCCTAAACACGTTGAACATTACCATCGCTTTATTTAAGGAGCGCGGTTAACGCGCTGTGGGGAGATGTATTCATGAAAGAATATTTTAAGTACGGAAATTTATTTCATTATACTTTCGGTATTTTTAAGTTCCCTAGCAAAGATCAGTATCGATAAATCTTAGAAGTTTTAGTAACGAAAATAAATGTATGGGAATTCAGTCGTTTATGCCCTGGTCGATGATCAGAACAAATTAGATATCGACTTACTAAGTTTTTCTAGGGGCCGATTACTGTAATCCAGGCAATAGAGATTGCGTCTTTTGTCGTTATGTCATTTAAGTGAAACTAAATGTATTTAAGAGAATCAAGCAAATCATTACATACCTTCTTCTTCCTGAAGAATAAGCTGCCCCGTTTCCGTCTCTTCTCAGCATGATGATCAAATGCCGCTCTGTTTAAAAACAACCAATCACATAAATAAATATGAAACACCCTATATAAACCATTTTTCTTTTAATTTGTCCTTCATTCCTCATTGTTGCTCAAACTCTTTGCTCGTGTGTGTATTTGTGTTTTTTTTCTGTGACATGCAGAAAAAAGCGAAAAATAAACAATGAACCAACAAACAATTCTTTTTGTTTTTGTTTAGTAATAATAATAATAAAAAACAAAGTGTAAATCAAAACGAACACAACAAGCGAAGCCTGTGCCTTTAGCATGCTAGTTTTAATTTAAAAAAAGAAAACTTGTCATATTTTATTTTCTTTTTGTTTTTTTTTTTTATAATATACTTACTGTGTTTCGTTTTTCTTGACGGTTCATCAATCTTCAGAAATATTTTGCAATCTATATTTTAACTGTTTGATTAACAAATGCATACTGTGAATGATTGGAGTCAAAAATTGTCTTCACTAATGATGTTAAACTACTCTATTTTTTTTCATTACCGTTCGCAAATATTGTATTTTCTTGATTTTAAGTCAAAACACAAGACAAAATCTACTAACTCTAGAGTCTGTGTGACAGAGTCTTAAAACGTATATTAGACATTCCAATCATTAATTTAGCCACAAATCGTTTATACAAAACCTATTCTTAATCTTGAAACTCGATCACTCGATGTCGTAACTACGTTGTATCGTCGTCTATCAACTATAATAGTTTCGTCACAATTCTTCTTTAAAAAACCTCGTATAAACATTCTTGAAATTTGATCAACATCTTTCTTTCAATCTCGTTGCCTATAAATACTTACTGTTCGAGGAAGGTAAGTCGAAGCAACCCAAGGTCCTGATGGTTGGCGGCGAGGCGGGCGGGCTGCGTGGCGCCGACGGTGGCGGCGGACGCGTCGTCGCTCTCCGAGTCACTGCCCGCCGCGCCACTACCACGCACATTAAACGCTCGCTACTACTACACTACACCGATAAGCGCTGCTATTTCTTCAAATAACTAAGTTTCGGTATACTTCGACTCGATAAAAAAATACATTTGTTCGCAATTTTTTCCTCCAGTATGAAAATCGCGGCTTTAACATTGATGTGTATCTTCCGCGGTGTATGAAATAGGTTTCGTTAAAATAGGCTCTATAAGTTGTAAATCTTTTGAGAAAATTAATATGTTAAAATAGTTTATTTGACTTCAAAAACCATGACGTTTTCAAATGCACCTAATGGCGCTAGTGTAGAGTTAGATCAGTTGACCAAAAGCTACGGCGCCAAAAACTTTTAATAAAGGAAAATATCTGCTGAGAACATTACGTTCATAATGACAAAGAGGTTCCAGAAGGAAGTTTTGTTTTGACCTTAATAAATGAGTCGAAATATATCACACCTTGACTATTCAATAAACTATAATCATAATAAATTAATCCAAATGTGTAACAAACGTGCGCATCGGTGTAATGTAGTTCTCGCTTTATGCAATGCTGACGTCATTACAATCGTGATTTTTTTATCATTTATTCAAATATTAAAATGGTGAATTTTTACTTTGATATCAACAAAGAATTACTGAATTCAAAAAATGGAATTAAATGGAACATTGAAGTTTGAATATTGAATTGTTTTTGAAGTCATGGGACGACATAATCACGATAGCAACACGTCATAAGTGCAAATAAAAATGTAAGTAAATGAAATCAAACATTTGTACGTGTACTCATTGGAGTGCCAACAATAACAACCTGAGCAAAGCAACAGTGCGACAACAAATTCAAAATAAAAAAAAACATTGACACACATACAAAAGAGGGTGTTTTTCATTCATTTTAAAATTAGTTTTGATTTCTCATAGCTTTATTATTTTTTCTCAAATATGATGTAGATGAGTTTTCATAATTAACCAGTTTAAAAAACACCCCATTTCTATGTCACCAGCTTTCAGTGTTAAACCAATAATTTTTGCAAAAAAATAAAATGTGTCTGTTCATTCTTGAATTATTGAAAAAACTACTAAGGTGTATATAGAATGTGGATTTTACAATGAAAGCCGGTCCAAAATAAACGTCAATAATAAAAAACGTCAATAAAAGACATGCACAATAAAATATCACCCTGTAGCTAATAAAGTGGACAAATCACAAAATACGAGTAACTAAAACGGTGCTGGATCATGTTCTTGTGTCAATTGGAATACCAAGGGTTTATTCTAGAAGATTCTGGAAATATTTTACTTGTAAATTTTTATTATTGTTTACAGCCAAATAAAAGGTAACTCTAATCTGGGGCTGCTCAATAATACAAAAAAAAATAATTATTTCCTACTAAGTAGTGTAAGGCTCTAGACCGACGGACCGCATTTGAACTGCAATCCAACTGCAAATTTCAGTTCAGATCCAGTTTGAATACAGTCGTGCCATGATTGCAATTGAACTGCAAACCAAACGAGCAGTCTGATTACAGTTCTATTGCAGTCATGACCAAACGGTTGCAAACCAAACGAGCGGTCTGATTGCAGTTCTATTGCAGTTATGACCAAACGGTTGCAAACCAAACGAGCAGTCTGATTACCGTTCTATTGCAGTCATGACCAAACGGTTGCAAACCAAACGAGCAGTCTGATTACAGTTCTATTGCAGTCATGACCAAACGGTTGCAAACAAAACGAGCAGTCTGATTACAGTTCTATTGCAGTCATGACCAAACGGTTGCAAACCAAACGAGCGGTCTGATTACAGTTCTATTGCAGTCATGACCAAACTGTTGCAAACCAAACGAGCGGTCTAATTGCAGTTCTATTGCAGTCATGACCAAACGGTTGCAAACCAAACGAGCAGTCTGATTACAGTTCTATTGCAGTCATGACCAAACGGTTGCAAACAAAACGAGCAGTCTGATTACAGTTCTATTGCAGTCATGACCAAACGGTTGCAAACCAAACGAGCGGTCTGATTGCAGTTCTATTGCAGTCATGACCAAACGGTTGCAAACCAAACGAGCAGTCTGATTACAGTTCTATTGCAGTCATGACCAAACGGTTGCAAACCAAACGAGCGGTCTAATTGCAGTTCTATTGCAGTCGTGTTCGAATTGCATGCGAATTTAAATTTGCAATTGGATTGCAGTTGAAATGCGGTTAGTCTGTTTAGAGCCTTAGGTGTAAGAATAATATATCTTGTTTTGTAATATGATTTTAACATTGGCAGGTAAAATAACTTGGGTATGTCTACGTTCATTGCAGTGCTCTATTGCATTCCTGTTGATAGAATTCTGAATAAGAAGTATAAAAGTAATGTTTCCAAAGTTTAATTAAATTAGTAAGTTAGAGTAGAATCAGATTTTTTTGACCTTACGTCATAAATATACTAATCAATTGAATTTCCACTCTATTTCTTTTGGCAGAAAAGTTGAAAATCATTTTTATTCTACATAGCATACGTACTCGTTAGGCTAAATTCGGTCGTCAAGCGGCCACTATACTGGGTGTGGACACTAACTTCTGTAGTGGAAGCCAAATTTAACACAACAACCATTAACTTCAAAATATTATCAACTTTATGACCCAAACAAAAGAGTGTGAAATCAATTGAAGACCAACTTTTGAGTAGCTACCATGATCAATCAACCTACACCTCCTCAACCAATTTTAAACTCTACCCTTTGGCAATAAAGTCTGAAAATTAACAAGTAACTTTTACCTACTTTTGACAATACATTTATTGTACTTATTTGGTCTGTTTCTATGAGGGTATGGTATACGTACACGTTAGGCGGCGGTTGCGCTAGATGCGGTTGTACAGCGGCCACTATACTGGGCGTGGACACTGACTTCTGTAGTGGTAACCTTGCAGCCAGCCTCCCCCCCTCCACCGGCACCACTACCCCGGAGCCGGGAGCCACGCCACCAGCTCGTAACGCTGCTGTTACTTTCTCAAAGTCCTTCTGCAAATTTTAAGAGTTAAGATGAATAAAGCCTTTTAAGTATAGTCTCCAACTCGCTTGCTCAGAGAATATTTTATTTTTTCTCCCTCCTATACATAATATATACAAGTCACTCGAACTTTGTAACCAAAAATGTTGAATATCTCAGAAACTAGCCACTTGGACCAAGGATCTCAGGGCTAATTATGTAGGAAATCAGTTGTATTAACACCTACCGAGAAGAATACGTCGAGTTACAAGTCACCCTATATATAGCGAAGAACCATGATCAGAGGTACACTGTCATAAGTTGTCAAGGATGTATTTAAGGCATAAAATTTATGTAAAGCGACCTTTTGATGATGAGTTTAAAATTTAAAACTGAAATCTTGTATCCGCAACATTTCGTACGACGAAGATTTACAATTTTTTAGAAACTACTGCTCGTATGTTTAATGGGAGACTTTTTACAGGAATTTGGTACCTATGTACTTTCTCAAAACTCTACAAAATTGTTATAATCTTTCAAAATCATTCAAGTGTAACTTACAGCGAGATCATTGTCATTGAGCGAGTGTGTCGAGTGTCGCACCGGTCGCGGCACCTCGCCCTCGGATTCCATCGACGAGAGCGACGCGCTGTGACCATTCAATGCACTGCGAATAGACATCATTAGAAGTTGTCAAATAGAAATTTCTTTTGAATACCATTTACTGGATACAGGTCGCTTCCAAAATGTCCAACTGGAAGTCAGCCAATGTCTAAAAACCTTTGTCTAACAGTGGACTCCTTGTGGTTGATACGAATATGATAGTTATGTACCTGCGCTGCCGATGTGATTCGTGTGTCCTCGGTCCAGGCTCGAGCGCCGCCCAGCTGCTGCGGCGGCCCTCGTCCCGACGCTCCCACAAACCCCATTGTCGGGATTCACCTGGTAATAGACAAAAGTTATACATATACACAGTTCAATCTTTAGGGTGAACTGTACAGTCAAAGGCCAAAAGTCCACTGCCACCGTGAATGATGTTCACACGGCAATGCGTAAGTAATTTCATATCAATGTGCATAAAAACGCGTGCGTACGCATGCGGATAAAAATATGCGTGTGTGTGTGTGTGTGTGTAAGCGCTGCAGCGCAACCGATAGTAGTCTTACGGTGGCAGTGGACTTTTGACAGTACAGTTGGCGACGGCAGAAAGTAATACATTTGTCACTATTCTTAATCTTCCCGTTCCTTTTTAACAAGCACTGCCGTGCTCGTTGTGCGATGAAATTAGGTCTGTGTTTAAGACTTAGACAATTTTTATTAGCCGTAAAACTTCCATAGCTGGTAAATAGATAAAGTACTCACCGCTGCCTTTCCGGCTCTGAGGGTAGAAGTCCAGATGTGTAGGAGACGAGCAGTCTACTTCCACCACGCCATCTTTGCACAGCGAGGGGCATGATGTACTTAGACGACTCGTGCCTGTCGCCTGTGCCAAAGGAAATTGAACTTTATTGGTCTGAAGTTAAAGCTCCTGTTGCTGTAGTGCATAATGTATGGAATTTAGATCTACTTAAGTTTAATAAGTTTGCTTTCATTTGGCAAACAAGAAGAATTTCACTTGTGGGTGGAGCCAAAATGTTATTTTAATACTGTTCTTATTGTCTATCACTATGTAAAAAGTAAACACAATTTTACCAGGAGAGGCAATGGCGCAGTTCTCATGCGCTGTACAGCTGCATGTAGTCGTCGCAACTGCTGTAAGCTGTCTTCCAGCAACCCCGGACTGTGCGGGGTTACGCTTATAGTGGGCACCTGCAAACAAAACATGTGTCACTATTACAACTTGATCCGCGAAAAATGGAAAAATTTTGAGTCGGGCCGAGATACATTTTAGGATTTTAGGTCTTCACAGAATGTCAGTAAAACAGCAGTAAACCCATGTAGGGGATTCATACACACTCACAGTCACTACGTAATCGTGCCGTTTTAATATTACTTTAATTAATCAGCTTACAAAATAATAGGACCCCCTAAATGTTACAATATCTTGATATGAGTTCCGGTAGGCTGAGCTCGGGGCAAAGGTTCGTGGTCACCTATTTTACAAAGTTTAGCTGCGCTTAAGCTTTATTTCGGATCATCCTTACAAGCAATATCGTAAGGATTATCTTAAGACACGAAGGACACAAAAAATACATCGCTTTCATGATTAGCTTCTAAACTTTTCCGAGCATGAACGGACGAACTCATTATAGCTTTTTCTTTTTTGACGAGGGAGTAAGGAAGCCGAACACCTTCGTGTTTAAAACGAGCCTAGCTCAACAGATGGTGCTAATTCAGTTTAAAGTTTTGATTGTTTTCTTAGCCTTATCTATTCGACATTTCTTCAACTACCTTAAAGTATGGTATTTATTTATCAAGTAAAAGAAAATTTACCTGAGCCCTGGCGGCAGCCATGTCTGGTGGTGGAGTGGATCTCGTCACGTGCTCAGTGACCTCGTCCTCGCTGCTGTCCGAGCGAGAGTCCGAACTGCCGCCGCCCTCGTCTGCAAGCAAACATAAAATTAAGAAACGAAAGCGGAAAAATGATAGGACTATTTAAATATATGGAAGCCAAATTCTTCTTCATCTTCCTCAAAAATTCGACTACGCACTTTAAACTCTTCTGGTGTCGGGGGTGTCCAAGGGGTGATATCGATGGCTTATCTTCATGTGACACGTCTGCTCGTTTGTCAGCCAAACGAAAGCTATCTAAATATCTTGGACCTAACTACTACATCTTAATCGTAACTATGATCGTTTATAAAAACAATTTTACCCATCTGCGACTATGACTGTACAACAATGAATGCATTGTTGTCGCAGTAGCGGATTCAACTAATAACATACAATTCTATAAATATCTAGATAACATAGAAGAGTGTTAAAACTACAACTACATACATTAACAGAGAACGCCTCTTGCTGAGAACAAAGAAATCGCCAAAAAATATCACCGTAAACTCGAACACGAATCGGACGAAAATACTCGTAAATGATACGCAACCGTTTGAACCCAAAACATCAGTGGAAAACACGTGTAATGAGCATAATATTGTTGTTTACATTGGCAGATCTAATCGCGGTTACCGTAAATAAGTTAGAAACGACCCGTCTCCGGCCCGATCACGTTAAGCGATTAGCACGGGCTAAATGTTGTTATTAGAGCGCCCTAGTACAAAATGAATTAGTTGGCAATTTGGTGTTGGTGATTTTTAGGGCTTCCCACACGGAAGGGGATAACTGTGTCGGATATATTAGGAACTAATCCGTCTTTATATCACTGGTTGATTTATTTCTGGTGTCTAGAAACTACTATTAACACAAACCGTTTGCCATTTCTGTTGATTCTACGTTTGATCACCTAAAATACCGCTAATAATGTAGGATACTAGGAGAATGGAAAGTAAGTGACTTATAGTTTATGAATCATCGTCACATTTACACTAAATTGTTGACTAATCGAATCTGTGTAGGCTAACTAAAATTGTATTTTAAGTTAACTACTTGGATCCAATATTGATCGACGCAGAACATATGAATTCTTTAGACACATTTTTAGGTAACACATCTAGAAGTGATACAAGTTTCTACGTAGGCGTTTACAAGCTTTTTAGATTAAATTATTGGATTGGACAGTCTACTTCTTGTTTTATTACCATCAAGTGAATAAGGTGCCATTATTGAATATGAACCTGTATTGATTTTCTTATTAAAAACCCATTCTATATCATGTTCACACATGTTCAAGTGGTGTATAATAAGTTTGTCAAATATTTGGTTTCTTTTTGGTGTAGTACACAAGGATGATATTAATTTTAATATTATCATTTCAGCGATGAGACGTTAAGAAAAGTCACCTAGTGGACTTCATAAGGCCCGTCATTCAACACACCAATATATATATGTAGGTTTTAGTCTTAGGAATCCCCGGTAATATAACCACTATCCTAAACTAAAGCGTCCACTAACGCACGCAAAAATACTCCCAACACAAAAGTAGATACAACCCTATTTAAATTGAAAAAGCTATTTCATTTCATATCTCGTCCATTAAAAGGCGCGTTTAGAACGAGAACTGAACACAAATGTTTATCAAGCGTAACTTCCTGAGCTGCAAAAGGCAGAACTTGCTCCCTATTCCGGTGCGGAATTCGCTTTTATACGAACACCGTATTTGTTACAAATCGACCCGGTGTTTGCATACAAAGTTACAAGCGAAGAGATATTTAGGATAGCGTGTTTTACCTACGAGCGGGCTCACGCTTCGAATATTTTATAAGGGAGAGGATACATGCATGTTTAAACAGGGACTTTATTATCACAGGGCTTAAGACTGACAGTCTGTACATAACTGAAAATTATTACAATTTACATTTTTGTAATCAGCACCTAAGTTGAAAGATAAATATAACAACTCGTAGATAGGTAAACGTATATTTTAAACTTTGCCTTTTCGGTAATTACAATGCGACAGTAGGTATCCTCAATCCTAGTACCGCACATCATCGTTCTTGAGTTGTGAATCTACATAACACTATTTAAGGCATCACGTCTGTGAGATAGCGTTTTTGAGGGATCCTGTAGTATTTATCAAGCGAATCTTCTTTTCTGCTATTTCCAAAATGTTAGGGGATTAGGCGGATCGACGACAGGACACCATCAGAAATCCTTATGTTCAACAGATTACACGTTTTTCGGCCTATGTATTAATGATCAAAGACTAAGACTTTTGGTTCAGTAATGGACATCGTGAATTGATTAGTAAATTCTCTAGATCAGGCTTCAAAGTCAAAGTCAAAGCATTTATTTCAAAATCCTTAATTAGGCATTTTGAAACGTCAAAACTTGAATCCGTCCGTCCGCCTGTCTGTCAGTGAAGCTAGGCGCTCGTTAAAAAGTGAAGTTTCCAATGGAGAAGAACGAGAAAAAAACTCCAACGTTCCGCTTTTAAAACTTAAAACTCTTTCTAAGTACCTACAATGATTTTTGGAACTCTAAAATCCCTAATAATTCACTCTCTAAGCCAATTTCGAGATGGTATCGTCCCCCGAAGCAATAGTTATGTGCGATCGACCACGAATTCCAATTAATAGCAACATACCTTTATATCAGTTAATGTAATTTACGACTAATTGCATCCAATTTGCGTCAAACTAACAAAATTTATAGTATCAGAGAAAATAATGAAATTGAAAGTACCCAGCAATGTGAACGAGTCTTTAAGCGTTCGCAATAAAAACATTCGCGAAAGATGGAATCTCTTCGCGAATTTGTTTAATCAAACATTTTTATACGATGTTAAAAGGAAAGAATTTCACTGGCACATAAAGTTGCAAATGCATAACATGATCTTGATACTTTTACTGAAAATAATACTTTTGTTCGTTTTGGTTTAGTATACGTTAATGAAATAAAAGCTTTTAAAGTGGGAATCGTTTTGAAAGAGAAAAAGAAATAAATTCCCAAAGAGATGCGGCAGTTGCAAGAATCAAAAGGAGAAAGAACTACACCCCATAGCAAAAAATATTTTAAAGAAAATTGAATGTGGTGCTGTTTTCGTCTTCTAATTCTTGCCTTGTTCTAGTTATAAATAACTATTATGATTCATTGATAATATTTGCATCTATGGACCATGAATCTTTCGTCTCTTTTTGATATTTTACGTTTTAAGTTGCAACCACAAATATTAACCACACTCTACAATTAGGTACGCACTTAGGTTCCAATTCGCAGATTGCATAAACCTACTAACATCACACATTAAATATGGCGTTCTTATCAAAATATTCAAGTCATTAATCCCTAACAATATTCCTTCATCATTTGTCATACGGACATCATTCAGCAAACGACGCGGCAATTTGGACCAGATTACCAATATGCAATAGGTTGAGAAGATAATGAAGTACAATTTACAATAGACACCCATTATGGCACTATTGAAATAGACCATTGAGAACAACCAGAAAATATTAGTTATTTGATCCCAAATTACAAGCTGTAAGTTGAATGGCTAGGTAATGACAAATTACGTCCAAATAACAGACTCAGTGGACCCCTTTTCCTTAACAAATCTCTCGAAACTTAACTCAAAGAGATGTCGAGAACAAATATCGAGTTAGCTATGAAGCTATGAATAAATCCAACGCTGGAAGTTATCTGATGCAGACAACGGAAACGGATATTGGTTGCAGTCGGACATCCCTATCGGTGGAATGAGACATGGGACTTTGTTTTCCGAAGCATCGACTACTCGAGTTTAATCGGAAATTAAATATCGATTACCTACGTACGATATATGTCAAAATTGATTTGATGTCCCTACCTAAATATTTTGGAGAATGGATAAATATTTTGTTTGTTGGCATAACAAAGTTATTGAACGATGTATTATTATTGAGTTTAAAACATACAATTACTTTTAAAAGACCAGAAGGTTCAAAAATTACAATCGATTTCCTAACAAGCAAAAGCACTCAAAACACAAACAAAGACTAAAATATCCATATCGAATAATCGAGCACGATTACATGGCGCCATTATTGCAAAAACCACGTACAAAGCATTATACAACCACGTTAACACAGATCGCTTTTAGTCCCACGCAAAAAAGTAAAACAAAGAAAAACATCCCATATTTCCCCATTTAGCGCCATACAAAATGCATAATCATCCGGAGACAGGGCCGACCGGCCTGACCCACTTTGCCCGAGGTCAAGGCTTTGAATACTACCCTGTTGAGTGTTTAGCTTAAACCAGCCTAAGTTGAGCTCCCTCTCTGTGACACCCAAACAAAAGGTTTGAGGGCACGGAAACGAGGAGAATGACGACAGCTTTTCTAGAGTTGGACAGATCCCAAATTGTAACTGTCTGTTTTACACGTCGTGCTTTTGTCGTGCATTGTAGTGGTACAAATGGTTGGATGAATGTGCTTTGGTTTGCTGGGGTTTGTGAATAGCCGTCTTGGGTGTGGACATCTTAAGAAGTTGGTATGGAAGAGATAACTACACGCAACTCAATGTCTTTCGTAGAAAAATTCGATAACATAAAATACTAACGCTACTAACGGTCAGAAATTGTAGTTCTGAATTTAAAAGTAAGACAATTCGAAGAGTGATGCAACGGACTCAGTAGTGGATCGATTTTGTATCTACGCAGATATTGCTCCACGGCAAACCAACGTCGCACGTTATAAATATTTTATCCCTCTGGTGCAAAACTGATATTGCAAATTTTTATGCGATCGTGAATCGGTCGTAAACATAGTAAAATAATATCACCATTGTGCAAAACTGGTTTAAACAATAGACTGAGGTTTTCGGATGTTTATAAGGTGAAGGATAAGTCGTTAACTATCAGAAACTCATTGAATTGATCAGTAACATGATACAACCCCAAGTCAAAACAGTGCCGCATTAATTTTTTATCATTAATCTCATCCCTACAACGGATGTGGCGTAGCAGTAAACCTTAGTTTGCCCCTTAGATCCAACCGCATCTATTC